AGAGTTATTACTATTGCATTTTACAGTGATGGATTCATAGACTCTAATTTATAGCGAAATCGAATACTCTGTCATGAGCAACTAGCCTTATCTGATCTATATTTAGGAAATATTTTAATATTCTAAGATCCCGCCTTTATCAATACGCACACTTCATATCCGCTATCACTCTTTCTTCTCCGACTGTCCTATTGTCAGACATATGTTACAAGACATCTCTACGATGGTCTCTCCCACTATAACATCCTGTCCATCTATCTCGTCTGTTCAAAGATGTATCGTCCTATCCAGCCTTGCACTATATCTCTTACCCATGCGGTGTTTCACCATTATCCTCATCTCTTCTTTCGCTTGTGGTGTGTGCAGTGATGTCATGGCGAGTCGATCCATGGCAACATCGCAGAAACTGCGCTTTCGTGTGCGTACCGGAGACAATCTAACGAAAGACCAGGACCGGTTGAAGGCGGCTGTGCTGATGTCACTGGTAGGTATTTGTAGATACACATTGTGTAGCTATTTTATGTGTGCGTATGTATGTACGGATGAAGGTACGTGTGTATACACATTGTGTACGTATATTGCGTGTACGTATGTATGTACGGAAGAAGGTATCTGTGGATATAAATATTGTGCAAGTAAATTATGCATCTTATGTATATATTTAGATATTTGTGTCCAGGCGTGACTTGTGGGATCAAGAGTATGTTTGTAGTATGTTGTGTGCTTATGTTGAGGATTGTATGTAAGAAATATTCCTATACTTGAACTCTCAGGCCATCAGTGCTTGATCTATTTTATATAACTCCACTGACATGCACGCTTGTTACATAGATATCGGACTGCTTGTATTGTGGTTGTACTACATCACGTGTATGTGATCAATTGCCAATGCCCAACCTTCCTACAGCTAAAAGCACCAGCACATGAACTCATGATAGCACACGGTTAAACACCGTCCCTCCCCCACACACCAATCACAAGCAAAACCACGAGCACACACGCACCCTCATACACATTGCTCTGTGCACATTCACTGACGATGTGATTTGACTTCGTTTGTTATTGTCATGCAGGCGCAATGGCTGGACGACGGACAGTCTTCCTACACACAACCACTACGCCAATTGACAGCACAGATTGGGCTACTCAACTCCAACGATTGGGATACCACCGCAGAAACCAGCACACCCCCACACCCACACATGACAGCACAGACACACGCACAGACACACACGCCCATGCACACGTACATGTCGCCTGAGGTCATCCGTAGTGTGCTGTCGTTTGCGGCGCATCTGTCGCCTGCAGATGCAGACATTCGCTTTGCCTACGCCAGCCACTGCTTTGCGCTGGGCAAGCACGCGGTTGAGCACGTGCACACCCGCGGCAACCGACTCGTGTTGGGCCGGACAGAGTGGGATGCGTTGACTACAGCTGTGTCTGGTTATTTGTCCACTACCACGGATGGTACGGATGATACGGGGGCTGAGCGTGAGCAGCACAGTACGATGTGTGCTTGCACCGAGAGCCCAGAGGCATTCGTGGAAAGGGGGGATGCGTATGTGTGCAAGTGTGGGTGTGGGGACTGTAGAGAAGGCGTGTGTACCACTCGGCTGGTGGTTGCCATAGCAACGGTGCTGCAGCGGGTGGAGTGGAGTATGGCTGATCAGCTGCACGACACCGATAAACACATCGCACCCGTAGCCATCGACACTCACACTAACGACACGGGCAAGCAATGGCGCATCACGCGAAAGAGTTTGCAGATCAAGGTGAGTGTGTATTGGAGAGTGTTTTTATGCACGTGAGTGTGTATGGATGTCATGCGCATGTGTACTGGAGAGTGTTTTTATGCACGTGAGTCTGTATGGATGTCATGTGCGTGTGTATTGGTGTGTTTTTATGCACATGAGTGTGTATGGATGTCATGTGTGTGTGTATTGGAGAGTGTTTGTATGTACGTGATTGCGTATGGATGCCCTGTGCGTGTGTATTGGAGAGTGTTTGTGTGTACGTGAGTGTGTATGGAGGTCTATATGTGGATGTGTGAGCTTGTTTCCATTTGCTAGTATGAGTGAAAGGTGCAAATAACGGAGACAGACTTGTTTAGAATGCGGTCGAGGATAAACAAGATGGATCGCAGATCCCTAAAACCCTAAAAATCCTAAAACATTGCCATAAAATTCTGTATGTAAGCAAACTTTTAATTCTTGTCACAGCCAAGCTCATGCTACTGCGTCCACGCATACATCTTTGTATTGGGTTGTGACCTCGCTATTGGGTGATGTCTGTCACATGTATTGGGAGGTAACCTCACTATTGGGTGATGTCTATCACATGTATATTGGGTGGTGTATACCACATGTATATTGGGTGATGTATATCGCATCTCCCGTTGTGTTCCCATTCACATTGTTGTGATGGCCTACTATGCACTCGCCTTGTCTCGAGAATTTGTTCACTGCAGTGATACCCTAAAACCCTGACGTCTACGGATCACTGCAGGTGCCATGTCGCGCCATTTGTTAATGCGCCGAGACACACTCTGCCGTCCACATACCATACCATACATCTCGTGTATCACTCCCTCACACAACACATCTCGTGTAACAATCCCTTACACAACACATCTCGTGTATCACTCCCTCACACAACACATCTCGTGTAACACTCCCTCACACAACACATCTCGTGTATCACTCCCTCACACAACACATCTCGTGGAACACTCCCTCACACAACACGTCTCGTGTAATACTCCCTCACACAACACATCTCTTGTAACACTCCCTCACACGGTTCTTTTTCCTTTTTTCCTTTCCTCTGCAGCTCCATGCCTTGCTGTCACCTCACGCTCACAAACACAAACACATGCACATGCACCCCCCCCCACACACGCACATGCACCCCCCCACACACACCACACACTCATCTACAGGCAATCACGTACACGCGGACCACAGCGAGACCGCTCTTACTTCCAATGGAGGGGTTGTGTGCGAGTGTGGGTGTGTGCACATGTGTGTGGACAGTCTTGTGTGTGTGCGTGATGCATGTATCACACGCACACTCTCGCCGCTGGCTCGGGCGGCCGCAGAATACTTTACCTACCTGCAGATCACTGCGGGCGGCGTGGGCGGCTCCGATGGTTCTAAAAATAGAACGGCCGATTCTATTAATAGAATGAAACCGTCCGCCCATCTAGGCCACACGGGCACACAAGCATCCACACACACACAACCCAACACGCATGCGCACGCTAACGCTAACGCGCGCATTCGATCCCTGGTGGCACCGCTTCGTCTGTTGAAGCTGTTGGTGCACTTTGGGCCAGAGCTGGCTGGGGTCATGACAGGTGTGTATGCATGTCGCAGCGTGTACTGTAGGCAGAACTCATTTGCTCATAATGTTATCGTACTTCTACTACACAGCATTTAGTTGATGAGGCACTAATGTATGTACATCACACCACACGCATGTGTGAACATACACTACCTGGCAACAGCTGCCCTATACTTCATCGTACAAATGCATTCGACTTTTCTTTCTCCGTATGTGAACCATAGAACACACTTCCACACTCTCACACTCTACAGGTGCTATGCATCTCCATCGATTCATTTCTAAGCACTCATTCTTAATATCATGCCTTGTTAACCAGTTGTACTGTCTCTCATCTATCCCCCACACACTCTCACTCAACAAGTGCTATGCATCTCCACCCATTCACATTTAAAAACTTCTTCGTAATCTCCTGCCTTGTTTAACAGTTATACTGTCTCTCATCCACCACCCACACACTCTCACTCTACAGGTGCTATGCATCACCACCCATTCACATTTTAAAACTTCTTCATAATTTCCTGCCTTGTTTAACAGTTATACTGTCTCTCATCTACCCCCCACACACTCTCACTCCATAGGTGCTATGCATCTCAACCCATTCACATTTAAAAACTTCTTCCTAATCTCCTGCCTTGTTTAACAGTTATACTGTCTCTCATCCACCACCCACACACTCTCACTCTACAGGTGCTATGCATCTCCACCCATTCACATTTTAAAACTTCTTCCTAATTTCCTGCCTTGTTTAACAGTTATACTGTCTCTCATCTACCCCCCACACACTCTCACTCCACAGGTGCTATGCATCTCCACACATTCATTCTTAAGCACTCATTCTTAATCTCATGCCTTGTTAACCAGTTGTACTGTCTCTCATCTACCCCCAAGTTATACAGTCTCTCATCTGCCCCCCACAGACTCTCACTATACAGGTGCTATGCATCTCCATCTATTCATTTGTATGCACTCATTCTTAATCTCATGCCTTGCTAACCAGTTGTACTATCTCTCATCTACCCCCAAGTTATACAGTCTCTCATCTGCCCCCCACACACTCACTCTACAGGTGCTATGCATCTCCACACATTCATTCTTAAGCACTCATTCTTAATCTCATGCCTTGTTAACCAGTTGTCCTGTCTCTCATCTACCCCCAAGTTATACAGTCTCGCATCTGCCCCCAACACACTCTCACTCAACAAGTGCTATGCTTCTCCACCCATTCACATTTTAAAACTTCTTACTAATCTCCTGCCTTGTTAAACAGTTATACTGTCGCTCATCTACAACCACCACTTACTCACCGGCACAGATGGTCTGCAGACCACTCCATGGGTTGCCCCCTGATTGTTTATAGTTATTGTCTCTCATCTACCCCCCTCACTCACTCACTCACTCACTCACTGGCACAGATGACCTAGACACCACTCCGTGGGTTGTTACCTGTTGTTTAAAGTTATCATGTCTCTCATCTACCCCCCTCACTCACTCACTCACTATCACAGATGGCCTGGAGACCACACCATGGGTTGTCTCCTGTTTTTAAAGTATCATGTCTCTCATCTACCCCCACTCAGTTAGTCACTCACTCACTCACTCACCGGCACAGATGGTCTGGAGACCACTCCATGGGTTGCGTGGGCGGCTGTAGTGCCACAGTTGCTGGCGCAGTTCTCTCATCCAGAGCAGTACGTGTGCGACCGCATTGTGGCGTTGATCTCTCGTATTGGGCTGGTTAAGCCGCAGGTACGTGTGTATGTGTGTGTATGTATGTATGTGTGTGTGTATGTGTGTGTATGTATGTGTATGTGTGTGTATGTGTGTGTATGTGTGTGTATGTATGTGTATGTATGTGTGTATGGGTGTGTATATGTGTCTGTATGTGTGCGTATGTATATATGTGTGTGTATATGTGTCTGTATGTGTGCGTATATGTGAAGGTATACCGTACGATACCCAAACAGAAGTACGCCAAGACTTCGGCTGTATACATTGCCATATGTACATATCCATAGTTCTGAGTCTCCTTACAGCCCCCTCCAACACTCTCTCCCCATTCTTCCTATCCCTTCCCAACCCATCGCAGGCAGTGGTATTTGCTGCACTGGCGGGTGCGTGGTCGTCTCGTCAGCTGAGCGAGAGTGTGCGTGAACAGTTTGAAGTGGTTGTGCAGTCGCTACGGGCCACTCACGGGTCTCTCGTGTCGGGTGTGGAGACGCTTATGCACCAGCTGGCGGGTCTAAGCCAACTGCCCGAGGAGCGGTAGGTGTATGTATTGGTTAATAGACTGTGCGTGTAGAGATAGGGTGTATGTATTGGATATTAGACTGTGTGTGTAGAGGTAAGGTGTATGTATTGGATATCAGACCATGTGTAGAGGTATATCATCCCCATATTGCTCGTCGTCAAGGTATTATATACACGTTTCTGGGTTTCTCTTCCTGTTTTTTTTGGTACTCAACTGTACATCAGCACTAAACAAAGACTCTACACTAAACAATGGCTATGCCCATGGCAGGTGGAGAAGTGTGTTGGGTCGACTGGCGCGGGACGTGGCGCAGAGGATCCATCGGCTAAAGTCACCGCTGCACCGCATAGCCAAGAGCACTCACATTGGAGCCCATGACAAGGCACGGGGGGTGTGCGGCTGCGGAGAGTGTACTGTGATATAACCCTAAAATCTAAGATATGGCTGTACTGTGATGTAACCCTAAACCCTAAGATGTGGCTGTACTGTGATATAACCCTAAACCCTAAGATGTGGCTGTACTGTGATGTAACCCTAAACCCTAAGATGTGGCTGTACTGTGATATAACCCTAAACCCTAAGATGTGGCTGTACTGTGATATAACCCTAAACCCTAAGATGTGGCTGTACTGTGATATAACCCTAAACCCTAAGATGTGGCTGTACTGTGATGTAACCCTAAACCCTAAGATATGGCTGTAGTCTATTGTGTATGGGGTATAGTGTAGTGGTGGAGGCTGCTTGTAGGTTATGTAGCGTGTGTGGTCGGCGTGGTTGTGTTTTTGTGTTGGCTCGTGCACATTAGTAAACTAGGTTTATTATGGTTGTTGTGATGGCTGCTGCAAACGGCTGTTGTAGTCACGTTATCTCATAGCTGTGTATATAATAACTACATTATTCATATCGCGTCACTGGTCAGGATATGCGTGCGACCATGGGCGATTACATAGTGTAGCATTAGATGTGTGTGTGGAGCGACATGCGCCTGTACGTGTTGAGTAGCGATTAGAATGCCTGGATAACATATACCAAGCTGAAGTCACGTGTGTGGCATTGTCTGTGCTCTGTGGTAGAAGAGTTCTCTGTCGTGTGGACACTCACAGAGACCTACATGAACATTCGGTCGTCGTGATGAGTGTGTGTATGCCAACAGCTGTGTCGAGTGCAGTTGCCAAGACACTCACGTTACGTGTGTATCAGCCGTCTCTTTGTCGTTGCACTGGCCACTCCGCTCACAGCCGTACCCTCTCACCACCCACAGATCACCATCGCCGAAAACCAGTGCAAAGCTGTGCTAGATCCGCTCGTTCATGAACTAGAGCGCCTGCGTGACCAGACATTCTGCTCGACCAATGAGAACTCAGGACACACTAGGCCCAGCTATAAGAGCCAATCAAATCACGATCGTCACTTTGCGCACACATACCGCGAGAGAATAGAGAGTGCTTTGCAAACTTTGTCGTTCCCTTGTGGCAGCGCCGTCTTGGATGCAGCGGTTGTCATGGCAAGCACCAAGTCGTCGAGTGGTAAAATCAGCTCCAGGTAAGCCTTGAAGTCATCGTCCGCAACATGTAGTGCGGTTCAGTTTTGTGTAACGTATATTTAGTATCGTGTGTGTATGTGTGTGTGTATGTACGTGTATGTGTGTGTGTATGTATGTGTGTGTGTGTGTGTGTGTGTGTGTGTGTGTGTGTGTTTATCAGCTGTGTTAGTACTGAAAATACGTACGTAATTTCGCTGCCGTTACACACAGCTTCATTGTGTAGTGTGCGTAGGTTGCCTTGCTCTGACTGTTTGCTTGTGTCCTCAGCCAGCGGCAAGTATATGCGTTCGTATACGCCTCATCAACTCTCATTGCTACTACGTCGCCACTTTACACTGCCAAGACATATACAAAACACAGTCATAGACGTATCTAATATAGCTTAACCCGGAAAACCCTATACCCTACTACCATACCCGCTCATGCCGTCGGCCCTGTTCACTTGCCTCTTTTGCAGTGCTGCGTCTGCAAAGTCTGACACTCCGACTTTACAGTCGCTACTGTGGGGACCGTTCAATGACATTCTGGAGTCTCTCAATGGACAAATAAGGAGCAGTGACCGCACCCGCAAAAGACTCAAGCTGGCTGACATTGCCCCGGGGCTGGTTCAGGCTAATTTATCCGCTGTTTATCTGCCACTTGATAGGTATATATGTATATATACGTATATTTAGATAAATATATATATATATATATGTATATATATATATATATATGTATATATATATATATATATATATATAGAATAATAATATATATATATATTATTATATATATATATATATA